ATTGCCATTATATAACCCTACCAAAAATTAGTTGGCATTCATATAGGATATGAATGCCATGGGTCGATTGTTGATGTCATCATTATTATGACATCATAATTGTTTCGATGGCTGTTCTATTCATTGGACAAGCATATACGATACATACATATTATTTGAACTAAATGCTGAATAATAATAAGTGTTATCGATTTTTTTGTGAGATGAACAGATTCCAAAAATGGTAAATTTTTCCAACTGGACAAAGGCAAATCCAACATGAAGCGCTAGCACGCTTCATTAAATTTGACTTTGTTCAGTTGGCATTCATATTGCCTATTAATGCCAACTGAATGCAGTTCAATGTTTAAGTAATGCATACCATATATGACAAATATTATGTTTCTAATATCAGTATAAAAATATTGGTTACCTCCAGACTAGCAGGTTGGGGGTGTATTTCTGCCACTGTGGCCACACTGTTTCCTCCGTACTCATGTGGTCGTCTACAACAATATTGGATTACAAATGTTTCATTTTATATCCATAATATTAAACTTCAGTTATTGTAGTGGTGTTATATAGAACAGTGAAGTCAATCTCATCACTTCAAAAAGCACTTTATTACCATGGGTATAATATTTTTGCAAACTATGTAGGTTTTATTCGCGAATACTTGATTCAGAATTGAGAAGATATTAGTAGTAAGAATCAGGAATCAATAGAATTAATATTTGTGAAAGTTGTAAATTTATGAATGAGTCTCCTCACAAACTCGTATGAAAATCAATCTCTTGCAAAATTAAAGAGATTTAATGTACGGTATATAAGCCAGTGCTATCCCATTTAATGGTCTGATGGAAATGTACTTATCAGTATAAACTATTTATAGCTTTATACTATGAAACAAGATGGCCAAATTTTCTCACACAATGCAAATGTCTGATTTGATTGCCAACTGGAAAAAACTGGTAGATGAATTCCAATCTATGACTAACATTCTTCATAGATAAAATAGGAAATCAAAACCATCATTATACAGCAGGTTGTGTCACTTTTGTATTTTTTGGCAGTTGCTGTAAAGCTAGAACTTGTGCCCTACATGGGTAGCATTGCCTTTTGATATAAGCATTAGCCCTAAAATGTTATGATCAGATGATAAAACATATACAAGTAAATTTTTCATTAAGATTCATTAGTTTGTCAATATGTAATATCATATAAAGTTAAACTTTGATATTATATAATATACAATGTATTATATAATACACAAGTAATGATGACGATATCTCACCTGATTCCATTTTTCACTACACTTGTTGGACAGACACTACTGACCCCCGAATGTCCTGTAAATTAGCAATGTAAAATTACAAATTCATTAAAATGGTTAAAAAATAAGATTTTTCAATGAAGTAGAAACATATATAAAGATTAGTGTTGTACTAGTAAACTCTTCTCACATCATTATGGAAGATATTTTACAGGTTAAGTCCCATTGGGGGGATCCACTGTTATATAACGAATCTTTTATACATTTTCAAAAACATGAAAGTAGACAACCAACTGCTGACCAATTGGACTTATAATCATCAGAGATGGTCTAGTTGGCTGTTGTATAAGATATATATAACGCATGCAACAGGCTATCTGTAGTAAATAAATGTATGTATGCACATGTGCATGATGACCAGTATTTAGTAGTAAACTTTCTATAATTTTACATCAAATGAAAACCAAACCTAACCAAGATGCAGTATACTTAAGTATTTTATAGATGTACGTGTGAACTACACACAGGTTTCCGCTGAATCAAGTTCAAAATTGCTTGCATAATGAAGACATCTTTGTATAGCTTAACAGCTCATCGACAATAAGTCATTCTGGGCAAAAAAATTAATAAGATGGTTTCTTTTTTCAATTTACATGTAATTTTACTGAAAAAATTTAAGTGGAACAATTTTCACTTATAAAACTATTTCTGAGGTCAATTTAACTGACTGGTAACATAGCCCTTTTTAGCAGTGATACCAGTACTGACGCCGAATAAAAACAAAACCAAAAATGCAGAATACTTAAGAATTTTCTTCTATCTCTTTTATGTCCAATCAAATCTGGACCGTCCTAACAAAAACAATGTCTACTTGTACTATACAATAGACTCCAACTACAACGATCAGATTCAGAAAAAAAATAAGTGTGAAATTCTACGCGACTGATTGTTATAACTTGGTCCCCTAAAATCCTCTGGTTTTTATCAAACTTTCATTGGACATCACCATATTTTGGGATAAATAATAAGATTCAATGCTGAAATTTGGAATAAATTCCCGCAATACAGAATGGCTTGCATCAAAATTTATTTTGAAGTTGACTTATGTATAGAAATCTCATGGCTATGACAAAGCTTACATTCAATATTGAGATGTTATTTTGTAGAAATCAGAAGAATAGTTGGCAGCTTTGCACACATCTATTTATGTCTGGTTTAACTGCACATACTGTGGTATAGGTAAATCCTTTTAAAACCAGTTTAGAGTAGTCTTTTTTAATACCAATCACCCTGGTATTGCTCGGCTTAAAAAATGAATGAAATAGGGTTTAAAAGTATATATCAGGCAATAATAATGTGCCATATATTGTTCAATCCATAACAATAAAAAAGCATGAAATTATTGCTTTAAGTATAAATCATCAGAACCCTATTTTTAATAAATGTTCAAAATTAATCCTATCTTTAAATATATTAGTGTTTACAATTTTCATCTGCTTTCCTTTAAACTCTTATAAGTTTATTCAAGAAACTGTTATGTTACAAGTGTCTTTTAAAAATAAAGAAAATCTGAGTTGACTTTCGGGTTAAATATTTACACATGCACATGTGCTACAAACAGAAATACATTACGGTACTTGTACAATACTCTATACGACACTTGGAAAATGATCCCTCGGTGTGAGTGTGATATTACACAGCTAACAGTACTCATTTTATCTGCTTGTCTACTTGATAACAGAAAGATGTCATTTTATTGGAAATTTGTTTAAATGAATAAAACAGAAACTCATCATTACCTAGCACGGCTCCTGATACAACGGTACACCGATTACGCCTGTCTTCATGCTTGCCTGCATACCGTTAAAACAGTCCGTGGAAACTGGTACGATATTCTCTTGTCATTTAGAGTTCACTCCCACCCATCTCTTCCCCGTTTTTTGCAAATCTATCCCCAGAATTTTTAGCAGTACTGCAGAGCTTCCTCTATTTTTTATTCTTGAACGACACACAGAGACTATACAATGATGTATTTATCTATTCCTCCACTAAGTTTGTCTTTGTTTCAACTCTCACTCATTTCCCTGCAGGTGATTCCCGATCAGTTTAATTTTTTGAAATGTGAAAGAAAACCATTAAGATGGCCAAAATACAATAAATATAACCAACAACAGAACAACTAAACTATAAATTAACTATTTTTGTCTCTTTTCAAAAACCTTCAACAGTTATGACAAAAACACCAGACTGTGTGTAAATGAATCTGACCCATTATAGGTTAACTCGCTTTATAACACGTCATCATTTCTGCACAATGACAAGTGTACTAGAATAAGGTGGATGCCTTATTCACTCTGACATACATTTAAGTGAGAGCATGAAGAAAGCCAGACAAAACATCATAGTTGAGATCGATTTGATTCCCTTATCTACTTTTTAAATGTAAGACATTTTTATTTCTTTAAATATGGGCTCCAGCTGATATTTGCAATACTTCAGTATTTGAAAAAAACTCATATTATTTTTCTAGAATCAAAGAAATACTGAAATTTCAATCGATGTCATCAGTGAAATCAAAAGTTCCATAATGTTATTATTTCTCTCTCATTTAAACAATCCATCATAAATACCTGTACATGTATTACTGCTGTTTGTGAAGTTCATCTGAATAGCTAAATGGAACCTATGCTTGTTTTATTTGATAATATATTGACTAAACGCGTCACAGACACATAAACTTTATCCTTTATCTTGTGGCCTTTGTACACCTTACTACCAACCAAGATGAGATTATCAGACATTTTAAATCATTGTGTACGTTTTCATTGTTATGTACATTATGTAGTTTAGCTTTTTAGAATTGATAACAAAAATGCATTATAATATTCTTAAAAATACTGGAATTTTAAGAAAACACTTCTCAAATTTATACTTCACAGTCAGTCACCTCTGTGAGCCCTAAAACTGATCAGCTAAAAAAAATTAACATGCCATAACTGAAAGTGAATGTACGAGTTATCTCCCTTCCTTTTAATCTTGCTTAAAGCAGCCAGCTTTTTAAGATGATTTGATGGCTTTATCGGATTCTCTTCAAAATAAAAGTTGTTACCTTATAATAACAGAAATACTATTATCAGATGCTGTCATACAGACTGTAGGCTAATCACAGACAATGACAATCACAAGTGACCAAAACCCCAGAGATTCGAGTATGACTGCACATGTATTACCATTTACAAGATTTTCAGTATTTAGTTTGCATGTTTGCCTTCAAATTGTTTCTAAGCATGTACCACTAATATTGATACTGTGTTGCACATATGCATATATACATGTATTTTACAAGTCTATACAGAATGTACAAGCATATTAGATAATGTTCATGGATACAAATAGATATCAACCTTAACATTAAGTCACAAACACCATCAAATCACAATGTCAATCAATCGAATTATGTTTGGTTTCTCATTTCCTCCATTGTGCCCAGTTTTCATTGCCACCCTGAGTCCGCCTTAAGCAAAGATCAAATTAATTTCCTTGTATACTCAACAAAATCTTACAGTTAAGAATTTAGCACTTACTCAGCTTGAGTGATTTCCAATATTGGGGCCAGATGGTGAGATTGGGGATGACTTGGTTGGGCCATTTCAGTCATAAACAACTTGGACAGTAAATGAGTGTTTTGTAAGGAGATTGTCCCAATGTTTGTAAGTCAGAGACGAACACGTAACAGAATTGAACTCACCATTATCACTGACATGATCAGCAGGCATCTCAGATTCTGTAAATGACATAAAAGTAATATTCAATTTCCACAAAATGTTTAGCTCTGGAACCAAGATACAATAAGCATTCCGGCCAAAACATGAAATAATGTCATTTCATGCTACGCAAGAAAAAAACCCACCTTAAAACTGACCTAACAGTGCAGTATTCCAGATTGACCAATAAAGCATAAACTTCCCTATTATGATTTGACTTTTGATTGGTTGCAGTGAACTTGACCTTTAGGGTATGACACTCTGTTCTGCTTTTTATACTTATATAGGAAGTGTTACAAAACTAGATGTAACACAAGCAGAGCTGGTTAGATATTTCATTTGATGCTCATTGGAACAAAACATATAGTCCCTGCAGCATGATTTAATCGTACAACATACCTTCATCCCTAAATGAAACAGCTGATGAAGTTCATTTGATCACCCCGTTTCAATTTTAAGGATCCCTGTCCCACTGCACTGTCGTTTTTTGTTTATACAGTGACCTCCCCTTAATTTCCTTTCGAATACAACTGTAGTAAGGTTTGCCAGGTAGTTTAATTCGTAAGAGCGCTTGTATAACAATCTGAAGTTGAGGATTTAAATCCTAGTCTAGCCCCAATGAAATTTTACACATGGAACACTGTTCTTAATTTTATTTTGTTCATTTATCTTCATTACTTTTTCATAAAAGTCCTACAAGGCAAAGTTTTCTTTTTAGAATTGATTTAACAAATACAGCTATAGTTATGTTGGAAAAGAGAGTTTCCAATGCATAGTTACAGATTTTGGCAGTGGTACAGGGACACTTAACTGAATCTGACTTAACAAACACTATTTCAAAGTTAACATGACATACCTGGAACCACTTTGATATTAAAGATTTTATCCAGAGCCTCCTTTGCAGCCTCGATCTTCGCCAGCCTCTTACTCTTGGCCGTGCCCTCGAAGGTCTCACCATTCACCTCTACTGACATCGTGTAGGTCTTGTCTTGTTCTTTCACCCCCTCTGCAGATTCTCGGACCAAATCATACTGTAGACAGAAAACTGTGTTACTGAAATATCTTACCGTACTTATATCACACTCCAGAGCCAGGGATTAAACTCGCTTACTTGTGTTCGCTTTTTTTTAAATAAGGCAAAATGTATTTGTGGTTTAACTCATTCACCCCTGAAGACACATTTGAACTCTTCCAATTGAAATGTTGGAGTAGTTCATTATGAAATTTCAGGGGTGAATGAGTTAAAACAAGCATGTCAAATATGTGTTTTATAGTTTTACAACTATTTTTGGGGGGCTAATTTTAAATGGAGGGAAAATGTAAGACGAATATATATCAGGGATGTGATTGGGGATTCGTAAAAAGGGAAGAAATCAAAGTAAAAAGGGAGGAACCTTACCTCCTTAAAATTTAGAATGGTAGTCTCTTTGGATCTGTATCTGGTTACAAAGACATTTACCAACCTCTGGGACTGGTACTACTTACTTTAAGTTCCTTTTTACACTCATTGAGCAGCATGACTGGGTTTTTACAGGAGTAGACTGGCCCGGTTGATTCCTGGCTGCCATCCGTTGAACTCAGTAGCTCCAAGGGTGTGGTGCTTTTCCTTTTCCTCCTCTTTTTGCCAGTCCCTTCCCCCGGTGGCATACCTTCTTTGTTGACAGGTGTCTCGTTTACAACTGATAACAACATATGACATTGTTAAAATCTTTGTAAATTAACCAAGTATGTAATTTGTACATATGTACCTAGTACTGTAAACAGCTACAAGCATGCACATTAGGGATTGGATGATTAAGAGAATTACACTATAGATTTCTATAGGAATTCTTTCAGATGTGTCTCAATCAGGTATGTATATACCTGTATTAATAAATGTCCTACAGCAACATATGTCCAAGTAATCTGGAATCAACATCAAGCTGTTGTATAGCTCATCGACAACATTTTGGAGCTACCGCACAGACGCAAAACATGAACCAGCATGCATAAAGTTCAAATCAAAGAAGTTTATCATAATTCTTCCAATTTGGATGACGACACTGACCTGGTACATGGAGGATGTTGAACATCTTTAACAGGGCGTATTTGGCAGCCTCCACTTTTGCTAGCTTTTTGTTGGCACCAGTACCCTCAAACTTTTCGCCGCTCACTTCAACGCTCATTGTGTAGGACTTGTTACTGCCTTCCACAGACTCTCTCTCAAACTCGTACACCAAACCCTTCTGTAGCTCGTTCAGGTTCTGCACCGGGTTCTTACTCGACAATGTTGGCTTGTCACTGCTCTGATCTGGATCCGTCTCACCCTGGTCAACCTTGACTTCCTTTCCTTGACCTTGATTGCTGTCATCCTCCATCAGGACGGGAGGACACTCTGTCGTTGCTGACAGACAGTTCAGGTCCTCGGCTACAACACAAATAGATACAGGATTACACAGCGACACAGACAGTTATATACTACTGGTACGGCTCATGACCGCCTATTTGTAAATAATTATCTGGGTCAACAATATTTACTATTCAATATATATATATATATATATATATAAAACAAAATTTACATAAATAGAAGAAAAGAAATATGACGATGAGAACCAAACCGCTACTCACAACAAAGGTAAAGCTTTAATGAAAATCTCCATCCTGACTACACTGTGAGTTGGTCAGTTCTGATCTATAATCACAGCAGAACTACTAAACCCCCCGGGTAGGCAGGACCAAGGCTTTTCAGTAAGCTTTCCCTGCACTGTGAGAAGCAGTTTAATTCCCAATATCACAGATTCACCACAACATTTAGATTGTTCATTCTTTTGAGTACAGAACTAGATTTGATTTGTAATGGAAACATGTGTGATATCAGGTAATGGAAATATGTGTGATATCAGGTAATGGAAATATGTGTGATATCAGATGGTACATCTACATGTACTCTTACACACATGCTGTTCTGTGAGTGAAGAATCATAAAGATTAAAATGAACTACATGTCTCGATAAAACCTCACAACAAGCTAAAACTGATAAACTGGGTGTTTTCCCTTTCAATGATGTCACACCGAGAACCCCTGCTGAGCTCATTACTGATCCCTATAGAGCTGTAGGGGACGACAGTCACATGGTGGAGCTAGACCAATGAATAAGCAGCATTCTATAGTCCGAGGTGCTCCCATTGGAACGTATGGTATAATTGTAAGTGTATCATTATATTGCACTATATATACATACTGTATATATAAAACGAATGATGTGTAAAAATATGCATGCTATTGTTTAAAATGCAGAATTTAATTAACAGACTTGGGACGGGGCGGACATCATTTTATAACCCCCAACCCCCCATATAAAAGCGGGGACAGAATTAAGATGTTCCCAATACATATAATATTACTAAAAGGGTAACTTCACTAATTAGTGTACATTATATACGATCATTACTATATAAGCATGTACTTATTTGCAGACTTCATTATAATGTAACAAAGACAGAAAGATGTGTTATCGGGCTCCCAAGTCAGATGTATCTATACACAATATAGTGAGTGTACGGACTGCAGTGATACCATCGCAAGTTGGTACATTCAAAGCAACACAGTAGTGTTGAATGTCAAGTCAACAGAGATCAATACAAGAAGTTGATTCTGACATAGTACATGTATGCACGGTATTCCTTTTTGTGAAGTTTCTAGGTCCTGCAATAAAAAGATTATATATGAAGTACACATTATGACATGGTCCAATGTTATATGCCTGTTTCCCGATGTCCTGGAAGGAACTCCATCACCCTACCTAGCCAACACATGTCAGAATGCCCCAATCTTGCCCAGAGACGCCCTAGTTTTGTGTACAGGGCGGCACTCCAAGCGAGACAGAAATTTCATAGCCCATGTGTCAACCTCGGTCAGACATGATAAGAGTTGCGTCCAGTTTTCCAACTGCGGAACTGTGATAACTATAACGTCAGACCATCCAGCAGTGTTGCCATGACAGCAATGTTGCAACTCACCCAGACAGTTTGTTACCATGGAAACACATGAGCAATATCCTGATATGACGCGGACAATATAAGCTGAGCTGGATACCTTCAAGTGAAGAAGTTTTCAGTGCTGTATTAATGCAAATTTCATTAAACCACCAGGCATAATATATAAGAAGGTTTAAACTGGCTAAAATAACAATATCAAGTATAAAAACATGCTGTTGTGTGGTCCAATTTAATCTTAAGAAAAACTGCAGACTTAATTTCTCAATCTGCTACAGTAACAAATCAAAATCAGATATGAACAGAGAAAACAGGCGGTGCCTCATCGTGACTAACCAAGCGAGGATTTCAATATTCCAATTCACATTTGTACGGAGAAATGTAAGTATATCGTAACAAAATGCAATCATGAACAGCCAAAGACAGTGGTGCCTTTGCAATTCAATTACTCTGTAAACTTATTCTAATGATAATCAGACTCTATACTTTTTCTGTAAAGCCAGAAAGTCCAAAATCACTTATGAAATGATGGTTGTTCCCAATGATTTTTTATTTATTTTTCAATCTGACTTTGATTTCGTTATGCAGAAGTTATTTTCAGAAATTACTGCATCTCCATGCCATTGAAAATGATCAAAGTCTTAAATATGTTTTACCACTAAACATAATAATATAAGGTATTAAAGTAGGTACTGTATAAGCACATGTGACCTTATTCCGCCTTTCATATTGCAGAGTTATCTGCTCTTGTGAGCAGGTATTGATTGTTACGCCATTAGTTTGTGTGAGAAAATTACGTTGTTTTTCTCAAAAAATTATGACGTTACTCTCACAAACAAATGATGTAACAATCAATACCTGCTCACAAGAGCAGATAACTCTGCAATACGAAAAGACGGAATATAATATAAACATAACATTCATTGGAGGGCAGTGAGTCATTACACAGTATCTAGAATAAATGTAACCAGCTGACTATCTGACAGTCATATTCCGCGGAGTCACTCTAGGTATTGTGTAATGCTTGGTCTCCAATAAATGGAATAATATTCATTTTACTTCACCAAACTTTAAAAACAAACAAGAATTTTAAATTGTCATGGTACACAATTGCAAATACTTAACAGCTTTCCCATTGCTATGAATTCAAACGATTAACGTCATAAGTTTTTGAGAAAACGACATAATTTTCTCACACAAACCAATGACGTAACAATCAATACCTGCTCTCAAGAGAAGATAACTCTGCAATACGCAAAGACAGAATAGTGCAATAGGAAATTTGTCTTGATCAATTAAATTGCAGAATCCTCAGGTAGGTAAAAAGATAATATTTAAAAGCTATTATTTTTATGTTAATTATATAAAATAAGTCATGTGATGAAAAATTTAGATACCGGTACTTAAATATTTTTTTTATTTCCTTGGTTGCCAGCACAGCTATACAGTAAAGTGATAGCAGTTTTATATATATTGGTACAACAGTCATATAACTGCCATATCAGCAATATTTGGGTACAGTGCAAGTCTTGTTTGCAATAATATGCAATGTTTTGCCCAGGTCTGTGACACAGTTAAATACCTCTCAACAAGCTAACTTTTTTTTATATACAAATGTGAATGAAAATAAGCTAATTTGTCTCAATTCATATATTCATGTACTGCCAGTTTGGAAAGTTTTATGTTATATACACTTGAAAAAGCAGTCTGTCAGGCCCCAGTTTCATGAACGTTCTTTAGCATATCATATGTAATAAGTTTTTCTCCATAGGTCAGAAATTATATGAGCCAAGCTAACAGTATGTACCACTGCATCAGTTATAATAGCGAGGAAGAGTTTCACTCGAGTCCAGAGTTTTTTTTTACGATTTGGAGCATTCTCCCTTCTATATAGAAAATATAGCAACGAAAAAGGAGGTTTTTGGCTTAGTCACTTCAAATTCCTGTGTCAAGATATCCATTTGCTTTAATTTTGTGGCCCATATCTTGGACACTTTTTTCATTTTGATGCTTGTTTGTGATACCTGTATGGCAATATTGCATTGGTTATTAAGTGTACAAGTACACTGTGTATTAAAAAGGTTCAGAGTTCGATCCCTGCAGTTTTCTTTTCTTTTGTAATTTTGGTTTCCAAACATTCCAATTTTGAACAATGCCAAATTTGTCAAATGCATGGCAGCATGCAATTTTTATGAAATATTTCTTTTGAAAAGGTCTTAAACGAACCATTCACAAAAGTGACAATAACGGTAAAACAAGGTGTACATATATTACAGTAACTTGTTGGTACCCTTTTCCTAGAGGAAAATTTTAAGTAAAGGAAATGTTTATGCACTTTAATTGTACATGTAGTAATATAAGTTTTCTATAGAGGACATCCGGGTAAATATGGACACTTTTCAAATGATGACTACTAATACACGCTCCTTGGTACAGTTCATCAACTTGCTGTGTGCGATCTTTCAAAGATATCATCAACGAACATGTTTAGAATGAAGGTCCCTTTATGTTGCTATTTTTAGTGATGCTTTTGATTGGCCGGTAAAATGAACACTAAAATATAAACCAAAACACGGAATATAGAGGAATCGGTTGTCAACGGACACGTGTAGGGTAACTACGGACACACTACTCTAATCATGCACTAACCCAATAAAACCATAGAAAATGATCACAATTTTTCGCCAGGGGTTTCTAATCCTTTTGGCATACAACAACCAGACGCGTCGCAAAGTGATCGCATGACGATGAATATTATTATACACGCCATTGCTATTTTTAGACTTTGGGATAATCTGGGTACTGATCATCAACGAAGACAAACATCCATACCAGTAGATCGATCTAAGTATAGCATCAACAGTTTGATTTAATCATATGTAATGGATTATGTATGATTCATATAAGAACTGTCCGTATTTGCCCGCCTGTCCATATTTAGCCGGATTTCCCCTAAAATCTAAAGTTATGAAATGTCCAATCTTTACGAACATCCATAAATCTGTGGTAAGACATAATGCATTTCAGTGGTGTATCATTATTTAGCTGCTGTGGGCTTACGGTCCTTGTATTTTTTTCAGTAGAACTCTCATCATGACAGACATACTTGGTGATAAATTAACATATGATTTTTAATAAGATTGCACCATCTACAGCTCACAATGATAGTCACAGCAAGTCAGAATATACAATCTTTGCATGTGTGAGCATTAATAAATTGTATGGAATTTCTGAACAACTGTAGGAAAATCACAGTAGAGCCAATAATCAACATTTGATCTTTGCATCACTTTTTTTCCAACTTAACTAAACTAAAACATTGTCAGCATTTAAGCTAGTTAAAATCGAGATTAATTTGAGCTCCCACAATATTTGCTTGTGAAATAATTTCAGTACGTGGAATTTTCAATCTATTAATATCGAAATATCCAAACGCTGGTCTGTTATATTTTTTATGTAAAGAGTATTGATCCACAAATGATTGGAATTTATAAACGTTACTGTAAATATAGCAATAATCTTGTTTTTATCATTTCCACTGGTGAAAAACAGTTATGTGATGCCAAAAATAACACTTAAATGTAATACAACATGCAAGTAATCTAAAGAAATACACCGTCGACGGTCGCATAGTCCTTGCAGGCTCGCATGTGCCCTATTCATTATTTGTTTCAAAAAGACTTGACGTGCGACGCCGGCTATTAAAATTCACGATGCTGACTACTCTAATTATCTTCTTACGCTAATTCTCTGCTTACGTTAAATTAACACTATCTGTGTTGCGGAATATGTGGGTAAATAAATACAGATGAAGTTCTATCCCTTTAAGGTTAAATCTGTCAAACCTTTTACAAAATCGGTCGGGTAGCCGCTTGCATCCATCTTGGAAATGTAGTTCTGTCTAATATTAGACACGGTTACGGTATGGCTACAATTCCGGAAATTGTTCTGCAATGGAGGAAAAACACCATTGGACCCCTTCGCGTATCCGGTTCAACTTGTCTGTTGTTTTAAATGTAATATTTTCGGGTTTAAATCCTGGCGACCCTACAAATGTGTATGCAGGCCTTGCAAGGCTTTGTCAAGGCTCTCCTGAAAGCAGCATCAGATTACTAACACACATGGGCTTTAACAGAGACGTATATATATATATCCTCAGACCTTATAAGGTTTTAGAATGTGTAAATATAAACCGAAAATATTACAATTTACGTCATATATTACTCAAAATATCGAAACCGAGCCCCTGTGCATACATAATTAAGGAGGCAGTACCATAATCGGATTACTTTTTGCAAAAATACTTTTAAGTCGATAAATGTGTCAATAGAACAGTTAAAACAATGATTTAGCCTTATAGACTATTAGAATAGATAGCCATGCACCATTTTTTGTCTGCAGATGATTAGTTTTTAAGTTTAAATATCACCAGAAAACGTAATTTAAATTCAAAAGTCAGTGTTCTGTTAACCTTTTAGGACTATTGGAATAAATTCACACTATTGAAATTCTTATTTTCATAAAAATTCCAAAGGTTATCATAAAATGTTATGCTGACAAAAATTATTCGTTTAAACGAACAACTCCGGTACTTTTTTGTACCTCGGTACCCTCAATTTATATAAGGTTTTAAAATGTGTATAAACACATGATAGTAAATGTTGCTATTATTTACTGATGAGTATACGTGTATCAATAACCGAAATTATTACAATATACGTCATATATGATTACTCAAAATCCCGAAACCGAGCCCCTGTGGGCGAGACGACAGAATTGAATTCAAAGAGGCTATCTTACTCTTGCATAAAGTCGCGCAGTACGGCGTGTGAGGACAAGTGCACAACTGGCTGACGTCATTCCTAACACAGAGGAAAATAAAGGGTGTATTTGAAGGCACAACGTCCCATGAGAAACACGTCGCCTCCGGAGTACCTCAAGGTACGGTACTAGGACCACTCCATTTCCTCTGCCACATAAATGACCTACCAGACTCAGTCAAATCACAAGTATGCCTTTTCGCCGACGACTGCCTTTTGTATCGACAAATTAAAACATTCAATGACCATTACATCCTCCAAAATGACCTACAAAACCTTGAAGAATGGGCAGATAAATGGGGCATGAAATTTAATGCCAAAAAATGCTACATCATGTCAGTTAAGAAAAAGTCATCAAAATTCTACAGTCTGAATAACCACATTTTGGAAGAGGTACAAAACAATCCATACCTAGGACTCCAGATATCAAACGACCTCAAATGGAGTACTCATATAAGCAACATCGCGAGGAAAGCGAGCTCAACTTTAGGCTTTCTGAGAAGAAATTTAAAACACTGCCCAAAAGAGTGTAAGAAAACAGCATATATATCACTTGTTAGATCAATTCTGGACTATGGCAGTATTATTTGGGGCCCTCATCTAAAATCAGACATTGAAAAACTAGAGAGAATACAAAGAAGAGCAGCTCGCCTAATAACTGGAAATTACAAAAGTCGGGATGAAGGATGTGTCACAGAAATGCTACAACACCTAAAACTGCCAACCCTACAAAACAGAAGGAAATCACAGCGACTAGTATTCATGTACAAAGTAGTTGAGGGGTTAATACCAGCCCTACCTCCAGATCAGATATAATCCAGCACTCTGGAAGGACGCGAAAAACAAACACAAAGCGTTATGAGAACTATGAAACATCAGCAACTTTAAACAGGAACATTGTCAACAACTCAAGGCCATTAATCATCCCAGGATACAAACAGGAAGCATACAAGAACTCCTTCTTCATCAAAACACCGCTTGAGTGAAACCAACTGGATGATATAGTAGTGTGCGCAGAAAGCGTAGAGGGATTTAGATCAGCCCTTTAAAAAAAAAACCCAAGATAAGTAACACATTCTCTCTCTCCCGTCGTGTCACGCCATTATTGGTAACTATGACGTATACAATATGTAAATCTGCCCAGCAGGCACAGTGACGTCGGATATAATATTACGACAGGCTGTGCAATTTCTGTGATAATAAAATTGAGAATGAAATCCACTTTTTACGTGAATGTAACTTATATTTCGATCTTAGAGTCCCTCTGTTTGAAAGAGCAAGTATGTTAGATCAATCATTTATTTCTATGGATCATAACGAACAATTTATTTTTCTTATGAATGAAGAATCGCTTCAACCTGTCTTAGCCAAGTCAGTTTTCCTTTTTATGAAAAGGAGACGTGGTAGTATTTAAAACTTGATATGCATTTTAGATTTTGTATGACTATATACCTCGTAATATATGGTTCATATTATTGCTTCTAGAAGGCAACATTACGATGCTTTCACCATTTACTGTAATTCAGTTTTTATGATTTTATTAAATCTAATTATGTAATTCATATGAATTTGATGTGCTAGTAATTGCCAATCATCGAGGTCCCGGGGGAGGGGCGACTTGTCGGTGGCGATTGGCCCAACCACTCTCGCTCTTCTCCCACCATCGGATCCGAGCATACATTCATTTGTAATAAACGTTAATTTCGCAATATTAAGATTCCGATGATGGGCGATGGGCGAATTGTCGATAGGGGTATCCCCAACCACTATCGCTCTTCTCCCACCATTTATAGGTTCAATATGTTTTAATAAATATAAATTTTGAGTAGTGTCTCGTAGGTCAGTATGGGTGGGCATATTTTGCAAATGTGTATTTTTATTATGTAAAGTGATGTGTTATGTAAAATATGTGACACTTAAATAAATAACAAAATGTTATCATGAACGTTGAAGTTCAATGTTGTTTAACTCATTTCCCCTTGAAGACACATTTGAACTCTTCCAATTCATAGGTTGGAATAGCACATTATGGAATTTCAGGGGTGAATGCGTTAAACATTGGATACAACATACCAAAATTCAACGTCAGATTTTGAACGTTGAATGAACGCGCTGCATTCCGGTTAAATTATATACCCTCATTCAACGTCAAATTTTCACAGTTATTGGTTAATCACACTTTCCCACCAATAAGCAGACGACATGAAGTAAATGAAAGAAAACATCAACAAACTATTCTCAGGTATTTAAAGGTTTAATTTTACTAATTTAGCCAATCATTTCGACGTCCATCGTCGCCATGCAACATCCACTTTGACATGAATGGCAGTCTGTCCGTGGTAGTCTGTGGCAGGTCCTGGAAAACAGGGTATAGTGCAAACTACTAATTATATTGTTACATACAGAGTTTTCCTAACTACATGTTGGATAAGTATGTATTAAATGTTCATACGTAACTTTTTGAAACATTGTTGGTCATGGAGTTAAGTTTTGATATTACACTTATCAGCAAAAGCCTTACCAGATCGTATATAGCGTATGCTACCTTTATTTTTTCCAATCTTTATTAGTCAAATTAGCTTGGCGTCCACCAGCACCGCCATGCCTTTCTGGGGCATACTTGAGGTACTGGGACATCCGCTTTTGGCATGAATCTACAGTCGCGGTCTGGTGCGATTCTGTGACAGCTTCTGGAATACAGAAAATAGCACACATTGTTAATTGTATCATCAAATACAAATGTTTGTAAGACGTTATACTTTTTAATTGTTAATACGTTAATTGTTAATACGTTAATTGTTAATACGTTAATTGTTAATACGTTAATTGTTAATACGTAACTTTTTGAAACAAACCTTCCAGGATTTGATAGGGTTTATGCTTCATAGTTTTTACCATGACGCAATTTGACAGGCAGCTTTTTATAAACAACAATAACAAAATGAGAAACATTTCATAAAATAAGGATTGTTTTATTGTGGTTACTTCTCGAAAGTTCTACACAGTCATATAGACAATGAAACTTGAAAAACTTGAAAAATACTTTTTTATGCAGGTTTATTTAACACAGGAAGTCGGGTGTAGCAAAACCCTCGGCAGGCCTCATGTTGGTAACGCAATATTTGCCCTCGGGTTTAGATCCCTCTATCTTACCCCTAAGGGTTAGGTGCACCCCAGGTTCAGGAACTACATGTTTAAATCCTGANGGGGGGGGGCATACAAAACAAGTTTTTCTATTCAATGTTAGTTCGACTGATGTTCTGAAACGTGACGTCATTCAATGTGATTACGGATATCGTCTTGCGGAAATCGATACAAAAATATAAACACACTTTCCGCAAAGCTTTTGCAAATTGTTTGATTTCACTGTATACCTTCCGTATATCATACATACCATATTTTCCTGTACTTTCCCAAAAGGTGACTTCCAATACTTGCAAGATCGATCCCAAATTTCATCCACAAGGGCGTGAATGATCGTTTTTTAATCTGTTCACCTTGTCATATAATTAATTGCTGACGTGACGTCGTTATTTGATGCAATGTTGACGTGACGTCATTGCATGAGCGGTAACATGATAAGAACGCCTCAGCTCCCATGTTTTCCCTTCCCAAATATCCATTTTGCAAACAGAACTCCTCGCCATCCCTATATATCAGAGAGACAAGTTCAAAACCCACACCACTAGTTATGGCTCAAGTTCATTCAGATCGACACCTTCGAAAATTGTCAAAATTGCAGATATTAAAGTCGATGACATCTTTCTTAATCGAGTGTATTGTCATTTAAAAGGATTCAACGTTAAAAAAAGGTCAAAGACAATGTTGGAGGTGTATTTGAAGACAAGACGGAAAGATTGTAAGCGCTTGTCAGTATATAATTTACAGTGAATACCTTTATTTTTTTGTCAACAGTTATTACCTATGGATAACGCCACAGACAGTGTCAATGTTCGTTATATAAGTCGATGGTAAGTGTTGTGAACGAGCACCCTATATGCCGCAGTTTGCGGCACATGTGTGGTATCGCAACTACTTTGACATCACCACGGAATATGGGGGACTGGCGCGAGACTTAGGAAGGGACACACTCGCATGTTTGGGTCATTCTAGCCAATGGGTCCATCGATATCTTAGGCATTCGACAGTTTTCCTCGTGCCCCGACCCGAGGTTGAGACGAGGATACAATAATTGGGGATGGACATTCTCAATCACAGCGGTAACCCCGGTGCCGAACAGTACACCATTTTAAATATGCAAGAAGATATCGGATCTACACACCATTGCCAATATGTCTAAGATATTCTGATTTAATATAGCTGAAATTTGGCCAATATGTTTCTAGTGTTCATTTTTATTTTATTTTTATAATATGAAATATAGAAAACATTTGCAATAATAAAGGCAGACAATTTAAGTGATTTCTCAGGAGACTTTCCCCCTCACTTATCATTGAGTCATAGCTATATATGCCCCTTTCGCTTATCCGTGCATGTTTCTGTGTGCTGTGACCCATATCAGTACAGCGTATGTGTATTTCAGACATTTGTAACGAACCTCAGTAATCAGATCGAACAACTCTGGTCCAACCGGTTCAACCGTTTGGACCGCGAATAACGAATGCGCCCATATATATACATCATAGGAAATAGTTTCACAGACAACTTTGTCTATGAAGTAATAGACTCCATGAGACCTATATTTACAATTTACACACGGTTTTAAACGATAGTCTAGAAAGAGAGGTTCTGCTTTTAAAAATTGTTTAACATGCATGTACACGATATGAAAGCAAACCCTGCAAATATCCAATCAAGATGTTTTAGTAAGAATTAAGTCTCATTCAGCTTAATTAACACAGGAATAAATCTTTTGTGAAGAAAGTTTCAAGAGGTTAAAGTGTTGAATACATTTTTTACTAAAGACTAAGAAACACTTGTCAGAAATGTGTATTGATGGCATGCCCATTTGATTTCAACACTTTAAACTTTGAATTAAGGACGTGTGAATCGCTGTCATCTGACAATTTTTTGTGTTCCAATTTTGTGGATATATTTATACGACATTATCTATGTAATTTGATTGTTTACACCTGTTTGAATTCATTCGGTGTTTTTCGCCATATTCTGGTCAGTTCGGTCATTATAATCAGGTCTTTAGTAACGCCCCGAAAGAGTCTTGTTAAACGAGATTGTTTGGTAACAGTGATAGTTATTCTTGACAGAAGGACATAGGCCTAATGTCCATAGCCCCAAACGTATTTAACCGTATTTCGCCATGCCGCTGAGGGGCCTTTTAAGGTATGATTTATCCTTGAAAGTTTAAACAAACTTAAATAAGTATCGGACCCATTTTAGATACAAAACAATAGTAAATGAATCAAGACCACAGGCTCTTGCTGTTATTGTTTGAAACTAAGCTTACTGTTAGTGTTACCTGTAACAAAATTGTACGAGTTAAAAACGTAAAACAAAACTCGAATATATAATCACTGGGGTGTCATTTTTTACCGAAAGTCGATCTAAACAACTAAAACATGTAAAATTACTCTGAACACCTTAGTTTAGGTCCAAATATAGCTGTAATAAATTCTCAGGTCCCTGCACTGCCTGCATGTGGTGTGATCACAGAATTTATATAAGCAATTGAGGTGTTAAAGTTTGCCATTTTTACCACAAGTTTGACATCTAAATAACTTAATTGTTATGCTCAATTGTACCTAATTTCAGTATTTATTGAGTTTTGTTCAAAGAAATATGAACTCGTTTTTGTTTCTAATATGAAAAAGAATTTTATGTGTTTATATATATCATTTTATTCCCATTTCAGCAGATAAAATTGTTACTGCAAATTGGTAACTTTTACCCAAATGTAGGGTTATTACCCATATGCAGGATTATTACTTGTATAAAATTATGCACAAAGGCACAACGCCTAACCTGTTGAATTGAGCTAACTTAATTAGGTTAAAATTATATTATTATTTTACTTTTTTTCCAGCCTGATTGTGAACAATCCACATTTGATTAAAAAGGTAGGTTCAGATACATATTTTTAAACTGGAAATAGTTTTCTATTATCTATAACTGTTCATTCTGAGCCAAATCATTTGATACACAATTAGGTATTAATTTCAGTATCTCTGCTCACCTTACCAGAACGTCCTCAATACTGCAGGGGTTACACTCACTTTTGCTCTCTACACCCCGTCAAAGCAAAATTGAAGGCTCAGTGTGCACCACCTTGTGAATGAGAGTAGGGGAGTAGTTTGATCCTTTGATGTACATCAAAAGAATCTGTCGCCTAACTATAAAATTGACTGGACTTGGAAGTCGGGTGTCGCTCCTCTGTAATCTTCAAAGGACAAGTATCAGCCTATCGATTGGTCAGGTGTTTTTTTACCCGAGACCACTCAAATAGCTAGTTGCATAGCTTTACTTTTGCTTTGACATATTCCAGGGGTGCCAAAATGAGCGTAATTGAAGGGTCATAAGCTTCCGTAGTCATATTGTCTAGGGCATATATCTCATACTTCCTTTTGTATGCGAGTACCTCTTGGAATGTCATATACTGAAATCAGGTTTTGTGACCCGATATATATATAGAGTTATGACCCTTTGTTTGCTATATATCAGGTACTAAGATCATTTGCCCCACTTCATTAAGAGTTATGGCCTTTCATTAAGCTTTGATACTGAATCTTTTCCAAATCTGAGATAGACACATTGTACAAAAATGATGCAATGCATATGTTGATTGTATCATATTATTTTCCCGGAGATGATACAAACACTTATGTTAGAATCCTTACTTTTAAAAGACTTTGCATCAATACCCTGTACAACTATTAAATCATTAAACTTATGTTTTTCAGCTTTCAGAGTCACCTCCTATCAAAAATTCTGCAAGGGTCGTGGCCGGCATCATAAACAAGGCTCGATATAATGGTGAGAATACATTCCACTGTGACCTTTTTAAGGCAAAATGCTGTTGATACTTTATTATTCTTGAACCATGCCTGTAGGTATGATTGAATTTCGATTCAGTGGATACTATTTCAATAATGATACATGTATGTAGCAACTATATATAAAATGTATATTTGCAGATGATTTCAATTCACACAAAAAAATACTTCTCATAAATATAAGGTGATTTACCGTAATCTTATTCTAACAATTTATAAACTTTCTGACTGTATACACTCTGTGTTTAAAAGAAATGCCCTTATCCTGTAGAATTTAGTTTAGACTGATAAATTCAGTTTCACTTTAATAGACGATTAATGAAAATGATAAATGTATTCCTCATATACAGCGACTTGCATTTTTAAAAAAGTTATAACAGGGACAGTATATAGAGACTATACGTCCCTGGTTATAATGAGTGCATTAGTATTCAATTATAGCCTTTACCTGGATTTATCAACCCGAGAAAAGATATATTGACAGAGGACGCAGTCTGAGGTCAATATATCTTTTCTCGGGTCGATAAATCCAGGTATCTACCGAAGTCAAAGTCTACAATTGTTTTATTATTTTCAAAACAGTAATGTTAGCAATCTGAAAAAAAATAACCGCAAAAATCTATGGAAGCGGGACGATGCGGTTGTTTGGAGTCGCATCATAATTCTATTTTTAGAAACACCCAGTCCTTCAACAATAATCACGTGCTCCAAGTCAATATCGGCTTTTATCGGTGGACACGTGATGCATTCCTGGCCAATCAGTTGTCGGGAATAATATGAAAAAACAATAATGTGTTGTATTACATGCTAACAGTATAAGTGGGGACCCCTTTCTTGTCATAATAATAAAACTTATTGTCAATATATTGGCATTAGACAAGGTTTCATGATTAACTCCCTTTGAATCAGTTGAGTGCTTAGCTCGCCACACATTTTCAAGGGAAATGGGCCGTTGAGCCTACTTAAACTTTTATTTTATAAGCGTCTTGGTACAAGCATATCCCATTCCTACCTTATTTATATTTTATCCTCTTCTCTTAAAAACAACAATAGAATACTGACAGGTCAGCAAGGGCCTTACTGTATCCCCTCCATTGTCTATTTTTAGTAACAGTAACAGTGACCTTGACCTTAGAAGCATTTTAAGTCCCTATTGCACATCTACATTTCACAGTGTATCACCATGTCAAATTTCAGAAATATTGGTCTTTCGGATTCTGAGATAATCTCCGGAAATGAAAGTGTGGACAGACAGACACTATGATTTACTATAGGGCACTTGCATCTCAGATGCTGGGCCCTATTTATAATTCCTCTTCCATATTTTCTTCTGTTTACAAGTACTTTCAGTTGGTTGTTTTGTATTCCAGCTGAAGATAAAGTAGACGAAATTACAGAAAAGGCAAAAGATGCGATGAAACATAATTCAGTGAAACATGAACAGACCGAGTCGTCAGCGGTACCAGGGTCGTTTACGGAAACATTCACCAAGGAAATGAAAGAAGGCTTCAAAGGTTTATTTGAACAGTTAGAACGAGAGAAAGAACTCGAAAAAGAACGTCAAGAATTGAAAGAAAAGTTAAAAAAAGAAAACAAAAAATAGTGCATGTGTTATTTTGCGTGATACTTACGTATTACAAGTTGTACAAGGAAATGGGTAATTGTGTTTAAAGACCAACATTAGGCAGACTGTGTTTTAATAGATGGAGGTTTCCAAACACAAGTCAAGTTTGAGTTCTTAGCTTCAAGATTTTGTGTAAGGCTCAATACAAGTCTGTGTGTGAATACTTAATTATATCGATTGTGTTGAGAAGAGTATTTTAAAATTATTGATGTTTAGAACTAAAGCTGCTTAAATGTGATAAACTAAATGATGAGGTCATGAGACGTAAAGGGTCTCTCTGCCTTAGAATGATGGTGTTAATGATGGAATAACTATATTTTAATGAGAACTCGGAGTGAATCATTTATCATTTAGGATGAGCATAATGTTAAAACTTAAATGGGAGTGACCACCACCTTTATACCAACATAATTAACAGATACATTTCTAACATTGTTGTAAATAGTTGTAAATAAATAAATATTGAAATTGAGTATTTTCTTTATTTTCTGTTCTTACATCGGTGCAATTGCATATGTGGTGATGTTGTAATCTTAGAATTATTTATTACATTTTTGCCAGTGCAATATCGGATTCTATCAACTTGATAAAACTGATATCTTTCACACTGTGACAAATAATCATACCAGAAAATAGCAGAAAACTTCGGAATTGTGTTGAGTATCCTGTTCAAAATGGCGCGCAGCCTTGTTGTCAAGCATGATGTCATTATAATATGGCGCTAATTATTACGCTTTTGATTCCCGCTCTTTTTCATTGCATTACATTTTTCATGTTTTATGCTTTAAAAATGTAATAAATAGAAAATTTAATGGTGTCTTCAGTAATAATAAATATATTTCACGAGTGTGGCCTATATTTTAATATTTTTCACGAGTGTGCATATCCTCTATATATTTATCAATTAGAGATTTTTGTTGAGGTGAATATATGGTTATATGAACCTGAGAAAGTAATGTTGATAAAGATGAAGTTGATGTTAATGTCACTTTCTCTGGGTCCATATAACCACATAATTACCGAAATTCAAGTCTTTAAATTGTTATATTAAATGCAAAATAATGTTTTCATCAACAAAAAAGACGAACATTTGAGAAAAGTACAGTGGAAAGAACTGCATTTGACAGAAAGCATTGTGATGTCAGGATTGAAATGATGTCATAAAATGAATATTGACCTGCTGTTTCTAAAAATAGTAATACAGAGTTAATATAACTCAGCCGATGAGGGTATAGGAAAAATGTGTCATCTAAAAATAATGAATATAATTTTTTGTTGAAAAATTACCAAAACACAAATAATTTGAGTTGATCTACTGTGAATTTTTTTCAGTGAATTTAGGGCCTCATGAAGACTCCTTCCCTTTGATATTTTCTGCCTGTATTTCCTCAAAACCATTGCAAAAATCTCTTCATTTTCCCAAAATCATGCTTTTAGTGTGTGATATTTTCCAAAAGTCAAAGGCACAACCCCTGATGAAAAGAGTGGAAAAATCACTGATATATGTAGCATTACTGCAGAATATCCCTTGGTGAATGTCATAATGTCTAACTCGAGCAACAAGACTTCTACCCAGCAGTTGAAATTTAGAACACAGAAATATCTCAAAGCAAAGATTCAGATAAGTTCTTGAATGAAATGTGGAAATTTGAAAAGTAAAGCCCAGAATTGAAATTGATAGAAAACTGCAGAAAACTTTACATTGAAGGCATAGCTGATATAGCAGTCACAACAGCCCTGAAAAAGTCGCATGGAAAAAGGAAAGAACTTAATCAAGCCGCTGTTGAATGCCACAAAGATTAGATTTGGAAGGAGAACAATCTAATCCAGGGAAGGACAGGTTGGGAGACTGCATGTATAGAGGTAGACTTAAACAATCCATAGGAAGCTAAAAAGAGTGACAAAATGATAAATCAACTACACAGGACATTTGAGTGGATCAGCAGGAAAGAAACCAGGCTCTCATAGAGGCTAACAGAAATTAACTATACTCCAGAGGAACAGCTAGAGGGGCCTAAAGATTACAGTGAACATGCAGTTGATGGACACAGCTAGTGGGTCAACACAAGCAGGTTGATTAACAACTGCTATTATAAATGTCAGAAGTTTGGACAGAGTGGGTCGACGCACACTGTCACAAAAAACCCCAGACAAATGCTTAGAAAACCCCCAAAAGGCTCTCCCTCTAGAATACTGAAATGAATTGCACTGAAAATGGTATTTAAAACAATCAGAACTTAAATACATCCACATAAGGCAGTTGACAGAAATAATATACTTTCCTTTTTGAAAACAAGAGTACCGGGGGGCGGAACAATATACGCCCGTCGAATGCCATATAGTGTTATATACTTTCTTACATTGAAATAAGATCTGCATCATTCTAAGTGTGGTTAGCTGACATGCTGTAAAAATGTAGGAGAAAATCTGCGGACAAAAAATCAAATACTGAAATGAACAAAGGGCAATAACTTTTGCCAAACTCGTCGAATCAAAATTCTTTTGAGGGAGACACAACTTCATATCATGATTATAATGTATACCAAGTTTCAAAGAGAACTGTTGAAAAATGTAGGAGGAGATAGCCGGACAAAAATAAAATACTGAAATAAACAAAAGGACAATAAAAAAATTGCAAAAATTGTTGAATCAAAGTTCTTTTCAAGGAAACACAACAACATATCATGATTATTTAGCCTACTAAGTTTCAAAGAAATCCGTCAAAAAATTGTAGGAGATCTCCGGACAAAAAATCAAACACTGAAATGAACAAAGGGCAATAACTTTTGAAAAATTGTCGGATCAAAATTCTTTTAAGGGAGACACAACTTCATATCATGATTATAATGTATACCAAGTTTCAAAGATCGATAAATGTAGGAGGAGATTGCCGGACAAACAAAAGGTTTTTCGGACGGACGGACGGACGACCCCATACCATAATACTTCCGTCAAATTTGACGGGCGTATAAAAATAGATATCTTAGTTCAAGCATTGAACAGGCACCTCAATGCAATTGGAATATGCATTGCTTGTCTGGGGCCCATGTAAACAATCACACATACATGTTGATCAAATTGAATAAATCAAGCACATCTAGATCCATCTTCAGTAATTACGTGAACAAGGTATGGATAAGTTAACAATATACTACAATATGTAAACTATCAAATGCCTTCTTGTCTTTTACAAAATGAAGCACAACCATGTAAATATTTCCGCAAAAGATATTCTACTGCTTTCAAGAATTTGAGCCTCACACAGATATAGACAGATACAAACATGAACAGGTCTCGTTAATAACATTGTTTTACTGGAATAACTTGTGACCACAAACAGCTGACCATGATCAAAGTCAATTTGAGTTTTTGTCCTCATGCAGAGCTGACGCTGAGCAATGTCGGCTGGAGAAACTTCCCTTCATACATAGCCGACGCTGATCATTGTCGACTGGAATGAAATGTCAACTGGAATAATTTGCCCTCACGCAATGACATAGCCAATGTTAATCATTATCAACTGAAATAACTTGCCCTGACACGTAACTGACGCTAGCCACTATCGACTAGAATGACTTGCCCTTACTCAGTCAGCGCTGATCGTTGTCGACTTGAATAAAAGGTAAATTGGAATAATTTGTCCTCACACAAAGCAGACGCTGATCAATGTCGACTGGAATAACTTGCCCTCACACATAGCCGACGTTGATCATTGTCGACTGGAATAACTTGCCCTCACACATAGCCAACGTTTATCATCGTCAACTGGAATAACTTGTCCTCACACATAGCTGACGATGATCAATGTCGACTGGAATAACTTACTCTCACACATAGCCGACATTTATCATTGTCGACTAGGGTAACCTACTCTCACACATAGCCGACATTTATCATTGTCGACTGGAGTAACCTACTCTCACACATTGCCAACGTTTATCATTGTCGACTAGGGTAACCTACTCTCACACATAGCCGACGCTGATCATTGTCGACTGGAATAACTTGACCTCACACATAGCCGACGCTGATCAATGTCGACTGGAATAACTTGACCTCACACATAGCCAACGTTGATCATTGTCGACTGGAATAACTTGCCCTCACACATAGCCGACGCTGATCATTGTCGACTGGAATAACTTGCCCTCAGACATAGCTGACGCTGATCAATGTCGACTGGAATAACTTACCCTCACACATAACCGACGTTTATCATCGTCAACTGGAATAACTTGCCCTCACACATAGCCGACGCTGATCAATGTCGACTGGAATAACTTGACCTCACACAAAGCCGACGATTATCATTGTCGACTTGAATAACTTACTCATACACATAGCCGACGTTTATCATTGTCGACTAGAGTAACCTACTCTCACACATAGCCGAGGCTGATCAATGCCGACTGGAATAACTTAACCTCACACATAGCCGACGTTGATCATTGTCGACTGGAATAACTTGCCCTCTCACATAGCCGACGTTTATCATTGTCAACTAGGGTAACCTACTCTCACACATAGCCGACGCTGATCAATGTCGACTGAAATAACTTACTCTCACACATAGCCGACGTTTATCATTGTCAACTAGGGTAACCTACTCTCACACATAGCCGACGTTTATCATTGTCGACTGGAGTAACCTACTCTCACACATAGCCGACATTTATCATTGTCGACTAGGGTAACCTACTCTCACACATAGCCGTCGTTTATCATTGTCGATTGAAGTAACCTACTCTCACACATAGCCGACGTTTATCATTGTCGACTGGAGTAACCTACTCTCACACATAGCCAACGTTTATCAATGTCGACTGGAATAACTTACTCTCACACATAGCCGATATTTATCATTGTCGACTAGGGTAACCTACTCTCACACATAGCCGACGTTTATCATTGTCGATTGGAGTAACCTACTCTCACACATAGCCGACGTTTATCATTGTCGACTGGAGTAACCTACTCTCACACATAGCCGACATTTATCATTGTCGACTGGAGTAACCTACTCTCACACATAGCCAACGTTTATCAATGTCGACTGGAATAACTTACTCTCACACATAGCCGACATTTATCATTGTCGACTGGAGTAACCTACTCTCACACATAGCCAACGCTGATCAATGCCGACTGGAGTAACCTACTCTCACACATAGCCGAAGTTTATCATTGTCGACTGGAGTAACCTACTCCCACACATAGCCAACGTTTATCATTGTCGACTGGAATAACTTGCCCTCACACATAGCCAACGTTTATCATTGTCGATTGGAGTAACCTACTCTCACACATAGCCGACGTTTATCATTGTCGACTAGAGTAACCTACTCTAACACATAGCCAACGCTGATCAATGCCGACTGGAATAACTTAACCTCACACATAGCCGACGTTGATCATTGTCGACTGGAATAACTTGCCCTCACACATAGCCAACGTTTATCATTGTCGATTGGAGTAACCTCCTCTCACACATAGCCGACGTTTATCATTGTCGACTGGAGTAACCTACTCCCACACATTGCCAACGTTGATCATTTTCGACTGGTTAGTGGAATCATTTGCCCTTGTAATTGAAATGATTTAATACATTGAAGAGTACATTTTTCAAATATTTATTTTAAAATTAATATTTGAAAAATGTACGGTAGATCTAAATTGTGAATTTACAAACCAAATCAATTCCAAACCTGGAACAAAAATCAAAGTATTGAAATTTTGCAACAGAATACGCCTTCCATTTGTAAAAAAAACCCACCACAAAATGGATAAAAAAAAGGAAAGACATTCTTACATGGACTGTCCACAAGTACAAGCTGCACTGTCAACATAGATCATAATTAAGGGAACTAAGAATTCAGAAAAGGACATCTGACGTTTCGGAGATAAATAGATTTCTAACCAGGCAGACAATTCACCTGAAATTCCATTCGATTTAACTTTACTGTCAAACCTCTACGCCAATCTATCAAACACTAAAATTTGTCACTTACCAGACGTGTATGTTTCTTATCTTGAAATGAGATTTTGCAATAAAATGATAACAAATGTCAATGCGTTGGTACATTGTAGAATGACCACACTTAATTTGTAACACGACTGATTCTTGCTAAAAAAGATATTTTTTCATTAAAATAAGTACAAAAGTACAATAAGTACAAAATAAATGCTTCTTTTTCTTCTTCTCTTATTCAATGTCTTCAGTTCTATTTCCTGCGTTTCAACATCTCCCTTAAAAGGCCAACTTAACGATTACTCAAAGAGCATTATTAATGTCAATCCCGTATTTATACACAACGTAACCTATGATAAATCTTGTGTAGCGGAACTGGGTCGATCGTCGGCGACCAGATAGCTCAACTGGTAGAGCGTCAGTCCAGGGGTTCCGGGTTCGAACCCCGGTGTGGCCGTGCATTTTTCCTCTCCTGTTACACTTGTATAGAAATCAAATGAGATATTTTGTATATATACACTATAACTGATATCTTATAATGTATAATATATCGGAAAAAGTTAATTTAAGATGAGTCAATCAGTTATGTATATAATAAACCTTATATAATTTTATGAAATACGGCTTCAACATTCTTCTCTGAATAAATGTTAAGTTGGCGCGACATATCAATTAAGTTTCCATTGATTACAATTAGTTTTGAAGTTCTCTTCATTAGTTTCGGTGCTCCCAGAAAATAATAAAATAACCATGTGTCTGCATTTGTACTGCCATTTCTAGATAAAAAGTTATCTTTTTCAAAATGGAAATATTTTCACCAGATAACGGTATATTATCTGTTATTTAGTATGCGCCCTCATACACCGGTTTGACTGTAAACTTCCGGTTTGTAAAAAACATGTGAATTGGCAGTAACGTTATCTCAAATCAGGTATGTCCTTTGAATGCGGACAATATGGTAATTTCTATCTTTTGAACACCAAGTAGCCGGAGAGTTGAACATATCTACCTCTTCTTGTTGTTACACTGGTGTCGAATCCCGGTTTGTTACACTTGTCAACCTTTTAACCTGTTAACTGTTAAGGTTCAACATGGCCATAAGAAGATGTTCTTATCACACAAAACAACAATAAACAACAACTGATAATCGTTGTATTTAAAGAACCCCAGTTCAGTTAATGATCCTCTGGACAATGCATGGACTCAGTCCATGATGGAGAACAGAATCAATGTTTTGTATTAAAGCAACTTCTTTTTAAGAACCATAATTCCTAGCTTCATGATATATGGCATTGCATATATTGTTCAGGTAAAATGCCATCAATGGTGTCAAAAGTGTTCATTTTATAACCCTCATCGAAATGTAAGAGGGCTAAAATGCATTGAAGACCTCAAATTACTTTTTATCAAGAATTGCAAAGCATTGAGTAATATGATATTTACCATGCACCACTTAGCTTAAATTGCTGGGATGCAAGGCTATCAAGGTTATTCAAATAACTAATAACCTTTACCTACATTTAAAGTGACAGGGGTCAAACGTGTTTAAATCTTCAAACAACTTATAATGATCCATGCTTCGTGAGATATTAAAATGATACTAAATAAAGTTTGTTCAAGTAAATGACCTTGAGCCAAGACTTCTGATTGGCTGAGGCATACATACAGTTACAAACAGAGTTCTATTGTGTCCACATTTTTCTTATGTTTTGGGACAGGGAGTGATATACAGGTGAAAATTTAAGATCAAATGAGTGACTAAAATTTCTGGAGTAAAGGTGGTTGTCATGGCTTCTGAATGGCTGATACATTCCCACCCTCAGACCCTCGCCTGACCCTAGACTGAAGGTTAGACAGTCAAGAATATCCTCATCATATCTTTGTCCTACCCTCATCTTTTGTGAAGTATCAATTCAAATATGCCATAAATGGAAACATGACATTGCTATACAAATGAAAAATCTTTTAAACTATGCAGTCTCAAGTATGAAATTTAAGATTCTCTTGTTTTTACACAGAGATGAAAACAATACATCCCATTTTTGTGCACTATTTTGACTCATGAACCCTCAACTGAAAATTTACAAAAATACTGTTTGATTAAAAAAACACAAATTTTCACAGAAAATATCTTGCTTTACATGTAAACATCTAAATTAGATTAAATACCAAATTTAATTCATGCTAATTAGGACACTGCAGTGTGCAGTGAAAAGGTTTTCAGTAACGGTAGGTGAATCACTTTTATTGATATAACTTTAATAACATCTGTCTAACAGAATCATCCAAGATGGAGGATCATCCGTTTGTAGACCTGAAGATTGACCCACAGGAATTCCTTGATGAAATGGATGGTCGTACTCTGTGTCCAATGTGTGGAAAATCACGGAAATATTACTGCTATACCTGCTATGTACCTGTCCAAGGCATCGAGCACAAAATTCCAAAGGTCAAGGTAAGGTTTCCTAGGTTTAATTGTTTACATGGTAGAGACATCTTCAGTGTTTCTTGAGAGATATCTGGATCATATGACTTAATCAAGATACATGTAAATAATTCTTAATTGCTTCTGATCCTATATTCTTAAAATGTGTTGCGCCAAAAGGTAGGAAGAAGCCTGTTTGTTTAAATCTGACGCTCAATGCAAATTAACACATTTGTTATTATATTCATGTATTTTCTTAAAACTTGTTCCTATAAAAGAATATTATGTGTATTAAAATATAAAACTCTTGTGTTTACTGTGCTATGAGATGCAAGCCCAGTGTTAGTATGTTACTCAATGTAATTCGATATGAGACAGCAGTAACTTTAAATGTAAAGTAGTGTGAATGTAGAGGAAATGTAAAACTTGACATGAAATATTATGTATTACATGGATTTAAAGAAAGTTGCAGGAAAATAAATATATATTGTAATAAGTTTTCCCTGAATGATCTGGACATTTTCTTGTCTTAAATTATTTATTTATCTGGGCTTTCTCTGGCCTAGCCTTTTTCTGTGTTTCTTCCAGCCATACTTAAGCCATACATTTTATAAATATGGACACATTATGATTTCAGCTACCGTTCAAGATTGACATCATCAAACACCCCAGTGAATGTGATGGAAAAAGTACCTCTGGTCATGCGAGAGTTATTGCCCCTGATGATGTCACTATCTACACATACCCCTGTATCCCTGATTACCCAGATCGAGACAGGGTAAGTTGAATACATAGGTGATCCTAAACTGGATTTGACTTGCGTTAGTGACTTGATTTAAAGCTGCACTGATTCTAACTGGGTCCACTTAGAATTTCCACATGAGTTTTAAGCCAATAGATGTACATGTACTAACCTCAGCCATATAGTGTTGGTAATAACAGAAGGATGTCTTGATTTAAGTTTCCGCTGTGTATGCATACTGAGGGGTATGGGGAGCAACACCCTTTGTATTATGTTTAAATTAACTGCTTTGGCCCGGAGATGCTTCATACCAAATTAGGGCCCTTTTTGTGTATCTGGTTCGACCAGTTTGTCTGTTTTTAAATGTAACTTTTTTCGCTTATAAATTCTGGCGGACCTGCAAACGTTTATGCAGCCCTTGCAAGGCTTTGTCAAGGCTCGTCTGAAAGCAGCATCAGATTACTAGGTCAGGTGCAACCTTTTGGAGTGTGATGAACAAATGCGGCCTAGGTTGATATCCTGTACGCTGTTCTAGACCCAGTACCCATTTGATGGAAGAGTACAAAAAGATGCCAAGCCACAGCACATACATTCATGTTTCCCTTCAGGCCAAATGACCGAACGATGAAGGGAGTGTTTCAAACCTCTTGGTTTCTTGTACAGTTCACTGATTTAAATATTGACACATTGTTACTATTGTGAGTTGTAGGTGGTACTGTTGTTCCCAGGGGATGGATCAATAAACATGGAGACATTAGCCGAGAAGTTTTCTCCTGGTGTTAACAATAACAGGCAGAAGGACATAAGTAGGGAAGATAAGCGTAGTGATACATCAGAGGAGATAACAGAGAATCCATGCCTTGTAAAGTCAGTACCTAAAGGAGATGATCCCTATAATGGGGCTCACAAGGACAGCTCGTCATCACTTGACAGAACACCAGCTACAGAAGATGAACTTGACCAAAAGTCTGCAACATCAGTATCTGATAACATATTACAGGCAGATACAGACATTCCACATCTGAAGGATGTGAATACAGTAAACAGGAAAAGAAAACACTCGTTAGATGGTGAGGTGGTCAAAAGGTCAAAGTTAATATCAGAGGTCAAACCTCCATTTGACAGAGTAATAATAATTGACAGTACATGGAACCAGACAAAGAGGATCAGCTCAGATGAGCGACTCAAAGGTAAGCAGTCTGTGATATAATTGTTGATATCCCCCCCCCCCCCTTTTTCTGAAATTCAATATGGCTACCACATATAGAGAAGCTTTATCTCAAAAACTCTGTTTGGCAGATTTGATTCAAACTTTTTACTAATTTTTCGGTGACTGTCGTAAAAGAAGTGAAATTCATACTTTTCGAACAATGAAATGATTAAAGATTGTTGTTATGGATTTTGATTTGCGGAAATATTATGAGCAGTAGCACTTGATATTCTGTAGCTGGATTGGTTCAAAATCATAAGGATATACCTTGTTTACGAATCTTTCTCTTTGGAAAATATGTTACTAGTACGGTATACTGAATAATGTAATCCTGTTGTATTGAGTTTCTTAGCTTTATGATAAATTAATGATTCATTCCACTCAGAGTAATTAAAAAAACCTCACCGTTGAGTGAACTTGATCAGTGTGTTATATACTCGTGATGAAGGTACCGTTGTGCACTCATGAAGTCTTTCGTGTATCAGTAATCAGTAGCTATGGTAGCTTAGGTCTGTGACAGTTTTTCGGAAAATAATAAAAAGTTCCAAAACAAAGTTCAAAGTTGGAAGCTATTTTAGGGGTAAAAGGAATATTGACAGTCGTATCATTCTCTGTTTGTGATATTTTTGTGGTCTTGTTCTCAATTCCTACAGCACCTATGTTAACCATTCTCGGTAAGACTAATCCTCTTAGAGTCCTGAATTACAAAATGTTTGGGTTGATGTTAGATTTGATTTTAAAATGGCCATCCTTGACTCTGATTGACAGCTGAGGTGCTGTATCAAATTATAACCTCGGATGTGTAATTTGTTCTGTAACAGAGGTCATTATTTTTTCAATGCCTCCGCCAGGAGTCGAACCTGGGACCTCTGCCTTACTAGTCTGACGCTCTAACGAATGAGCTAAAGAGAAATTCTCCGAAAGCCAAGTTGGTAGGAAGCGGCTAGTATTTCATCAGAGTGATCATGACAGTTCAATGAAATATTCAGACCATGAACTTTTGTGTAAATTGTATCCACAAGATCTTGATACTAAAATGTGCACTGAACCAAAACTTGCAGTAGTATACTCACACACCATTTCTGTCCTCAGGTCTCACCTGTGTGGAGCTGAAAACCAGACACAGTAATTTTTGGCGTCACCAGAAGGACCTCCCTCCAACCTACCTGTCCACTGTCGAAGCCATCTACTACTTTGTACGAGATTACCATGACGTTTTTGTGACCAGTGGTGATACTCTAGAGTATGATGGCCGATATGATAACTTGCTTTTCCTTTTCACATACATGTACAACAAAATCAAAAAAATGTATAATGGTCGGAGAAACTTAAAGGCTTATCAGCAACGAGAAGAGAAAGTAAAATCAGAAAACAAAGCGTGAAAGTAATAGTCTGTTATTTTTTTTACAAAGCCTACACAGTATTGACAGATATTTCAAACTCATTACACACATGATATTGGAACTTTTATAAAAATAATGTGAACTGTTATAAAATACTGTTTATGAAATGCTATATAAATGAAGGAATATGACATTTTACAAGAAAAGTGTATGTAAAATGGTATAGGAATAGACAGGAAAATAGAGCCAATGCCAATTAAAAGTAGGTGTATGTTCGGTGGGGTGCTGCGCTTAAGTCTGGATACAATACCCAAGGTATGCAGGGTGATTAGTGAGATATGTAAGGCGATTAGTGAGAAATGTAAGGCGACTAGTGAGATATGTAAGGCGACTAGTGAGAAATGTAAGGCGATTAGTGAGAAATGTAAGGCGACTAGTGAGATATGTAAGGCGACTAGTGAGAAATGTAAGGCGACTAGTGAGATATGTAAGGCGACTAGTGAGA